GCCATAAAACTCTACTACACATCCTCTGTGAGCTCACAATACACAACTCAAGAAAAAATCATTAAAAAAAATGATTTAAAATAGAATTAAATCGACAGTTCCCAGACCAAAGATTGGAATTCATCATTTACAACAACACAAACAGGACTGTTTAATATAATTTTTCATTATATATATATATATATATATATATATATATATATATATATATATATATATATATATATATATATATATATATATATATATATATATATAATCACGCAGAAACACAACATGAAGTTTCTTTCACAACAATTAGCTCCATTTCATGGTTCCACACATGAAACACAAATTGATGCTCTTCTCGAAAAAATGGATATAATTATTCTCTCCCCCCCCCCTAAAAATGACCATTCCTTTCCACCGTCCCATCCCAAACCTTTATCTTGACCCCCTTCCAAATGCTATATGGTCGTAATGGCTTGCCGTTTTCCCCCTGAATGTTCCCTTCCCTTCCCTTCCCCCTAAAATAATGTTGAAACACTTCGTTATAATATAATATATTGATAACAATTCTATAATCTTTTCCTCCTCTGATGTATTTTGCACAGTTTTTTATTGCAGATCAATCACGAAACTTGCAAATATCACAAAGTTATACACAAATCATGCTTTGAACTTAGATGGAAAAATGGTTCAAATCTGTGCAGTCAAAAAATTAAATTTTAATTAAATTTTTCAGTTCATATCATGATGGGTGTCCAATTTTTTTTAGTAAGACTTTAAGAATCAATCTATTATTGTTTTGTGAGGTATTGTTTTGATATATCTTGGCAGACGGATATAATTATACCAGCTGTAGTGATTAATCATGCCAGTTGTAGTGGTTAATCATACCTGCTGCAGTTGTTAATCATACCAGCTGCAGTGATTAATCATACCAGCTATAGGGAATAACTGACGATATGGTAGGTCACAAATTGAGAAGTGTGTTTATATATATATATATATATATATATATATATATATATATATATATATATATATATATCCTATAATCTATATTAGATTTATCTTTTAATATATGTTTTTCACTTGTAATTGCTATTATGCAAATCGTAACTTCAAAAGCCACTTTCAGAAAATTAAAAAAAAAGGTTATGTTCTCTTCTATTATAATATCTTGAGGGGTCAAAATTGGTTAGTTTTATTGCTCTCTGACTTTGTCGGCTTCGCTATATATGTGGTATAGGATCTGTGCTTTTATAAGTCATCTTCGCCATATATGACGTGATCTATGCTTCTATAACTGTCAGCGTTGCTGTATCTAATAAGATCAAAGCCTCAATAACTGCCACCCTCATAGAGTCAGCTCTCTGTAGCTCTAAAACTATGTGATCTTTTCCCTAGGCTGATGAGTAGTGTCCTCACTAATAGAGAGAGGAATTACACTCAAAGACATATATATATTCAGACCCGCGTGAGTCAATCTCTGGCGTCCGCTGCCTGGTGTTCGATCCCCTACATCAACATGCCCTCCAGACTCACCCCATTCAGGGTCTCTAATGATGTGGAAAACTGCTGTAATTGACTCTTTTTTTCTGTATCAAGCACGACGGCTTTCAGTCCTTACCTTTCAGGTAGATATACATACAAGTTGATTCATTTGTAGTGTTGCATATGGGAAATACAGTGTTTCTTGAGACGCCTGTCTTGTGTTCCCCCAGTCTGTTGTGTTGCTAATATTGTATTTTCGTTTGTGATGATCGATATTATTTTCTGTGTGTTGAGTAGTATTTGAGGAAAATCTCTCTCTCTCTCTCTCTCTCTCTCTCTCTCTCTCTCTCTCTCTCTCTCTCTCTAACACACAGTGACACAGGTCATCTCTCCTCATCTTCTGGTGTGTGGTTTAATCTTCATCATTTAAGACGTTATTCCTTGTTCGACGTTCTTCTCTTTCCTCCACTTCCCTATTCCTCTATTGCACCGTTCCCTTTCCCTGTTGTTTAACCCATCACCCCCTTTGTGTTTCTTCTTCCATTCTCTCTCTCAATTTGTACTTCATTATATTTTTTTGGGGTCTCTGTCCCCACTTATTTCACCCTTCTGGTCATCCTTCTTTACCACCTCTCCTCTTGTTCTCTTATTCTTCTTCTATCTCCATCTCCTCTATTGCTTTATCCATCTCTCTGTGTCTCCTTTCTTATCAATGTTTTGTGTTTCCTTTCACACTTTCTTACTTTCTTATACATCACTTTTTCTCGTTATGTTAATATTTTATACCATGTTTTTCGACTAGTTTATTCTTCCTCATATGTCATCACTCATTATTCTCATTCCTCCCCTCTCCCTCCTTACTTGCTTCACTACTTCTTCCTTCCTACCCCTCCTCCCTCTAGCATTATCCCTCCCCCACACCAGCTGATGTGTGGGGAAGGGATAATGCCTACCTACCTACCCTACCTATCACCAATCCTGCCTACCACCACCCTCCCTCCCTCGTTCTCACCCCCCCCTCTCTTGCCTTCCTCTCACCCCCTTCCCTAAATTCTTCCCTACTTCAACCTACCTTCTTGACCTTCGATCTGTCTCCCCTTCCCAAACTCCTTGCTTCGTCCCTTTCTCTCTCCCACTCTATCCCTTCACTATCCCTCTACTCTCTCTCCGTGCCACCCACACCCTGGAGATAACAAGGCAGTGTTGGAGGCTGGCACCAGCATCATGGGGTAGGGGGGGGGCGGGGGTGCCACTATCTTATGGCCCTCATCTTCATAAAATATTCTCCTTAATCAGTTCTTCGGCCAGTTTGGTTGACATTTTTATCTCCTGTCCCTCAAACCATTTCTGTCTTCCAACTAGATTTATTTTGTTAAATCTTTTACCATTAATTATATAAATATATATATTTATATATATATATATATATATATATATATATATATATATATATATATATATATATATATATATATAGTTTAAGACATAGTTACCATGTAACAATGTGTTCGTGGGGTCCCTCGATTGTTTCAAAGATGGGTTGGACAAGTATATGAGTGGGATTGGGTGGTTATAAATAGGAGCTGCCTCGTATGGGCCAATAGGCCTTCTGCAGTTACCTTTATTCTTATGTTCTTCTTACGTTCTTATAAGAACATTTCCGAGCACTGAATGGGACACATTCTTGTGTAGGTTGCCCCCTGTGTGGCACTCAAGCTTCCTGAAGAGAACCAAACCCGCCTACAAAGGGCGTAAAGATATGTAACAAAGCTCCTTTTTGAGCTGTTAGTATATAGAGGGAACTGCCTCTAGCGTCACATCGAAGAAATACAAAGAATAGACATGATCACAACCTACAAAATTCTCATAGGAATTGACTGGGTGGACAAAGTTAAACTATTTAACACGGATGGAACACGAACAAGGGGACACAGGTGGAAACTTAGTACCCAGATGAGCCACAGAAATATTAAAAAGAATTTTATCGGTGTCGGAGTAGTTAACAAAAGGAATGCATTAGGCAGTGATGTGGTAAAGACAGACTATATACACAGTTTCAGATGTAATGATATAGTCCAGTAGGCTCAGGAACCTGTACAGCAGTTGATTGACAGTTGAGAGGCGGGACCAAAAAGCCAAAGCTCAACCCCTGACCTAGACCATGCTGCAAGTGCTGCCCCCTGACCTAGACCATACTGCGGATGCTGCCGAGGATGCCGATCAACACAAACAATGTGCTTAAAGAGTTCCCAATTATCTAGGAAATAAATCACAGGGATTTATTTCCCAATAAACCTAGGAAATGGTACAAAAATCTCCCACTGGATGATTGTCAAAACATCTCCAGGTTTTTGGCTTTGCATCAGTGGTATTTACGAGTAGAGATGTTGATGAGTAGCGCTATGCGTGTGTGTGTAGGGAGGGAGGGAGGGAGGAGTAGGATAGGCAGGGATGGGAAGGAGGTGAGAAAGAAGGGGGGAGTGAAAAAATGGAAGGGGGAGGGGAGTGTGTCAGTGGGAAAACAAGGGATCGATGTCGCATATCAGCTTAAAAGAAAAGTGAAGAGAAAGAGAGAGAGAGAGAGAGAGAGAGAGAGAGAGAGAGAGAGAGAGAGAGAGAGAGAGAGAGAGAGAGAGAGAGAGAGAGAGAGAGAGAGAGGCGGGAGAGAGAAGAGAGAGAGAGAGAGAGAGAGGCAGGGGGGATGCAAATCAACAAAACCCTGTTGCTATAGTGTCAGTGGGGAATTCCGTCCCCAAACCATGACACTGTTTGCAATATTTGCAATCGAGAGAACCACGCACCCGTTAGTCACTCCGGACTCCCTTCATCCCTATTCTTTTCACACACTTGCTCTCTAACACACGAGAGCCCCCACTCTCTCTCTCTCTCTCTCTCTCACACTACCTCGAACCTCATATCACTTCGGATTCTTATCATGTCAAGTTCACAATGCAGCCGTCCTGAAGAGGCTATATATAGCACTTAAAGCCCTAAATTGTCGTATAAACTCAGTACTCACTGACAGCCAATCATCAGACATGCTTAATGCCCAATTAGTGTGCCCCTCGGATGTCCAGAGGGCACCAGCAGCAGCAGCAGGGGCCCTCTGGTTGTGGCTATGGGACATCTGTGATACATGGAGGGACACGTATGGGTCCTCCTGTGGCCCCGTTCAGGGCTGTGTAGGACTCTCACACCTCACTGAGCACTAGACCTGACTGGTCGGAGTTTTTAATTGTCGTTCGAGGGAGCTGCTGCGTCAGATCACCTGCTGCATAGAGTCAGCTGCTGCATAGAGTCAGCTGCTGCATACAGTCAGCTGCTGCATACAGTCAGCTGCTGCATAGAGTCAGCTACTGCATAGAGTCAGCTACTGCCTGGAACAGGAGTCGCGTGGATCTCCGTAGTCTCTCAGTCATACTTATTTCATTCTGTGATTTAAACATTTTTATACTTCAATATTTACGAGTCTATGTATATTTAAGATTGATTTTATCTCTTGTATATATTTCTTCCTGCAGGAGGGGGCGTGGAGGTGCCGGCCCACGTGTGGGGGGGCGTGTGTCTGGTGCTGGTGCTGGCGGGCGTGGCGGGCGTGGGCGTGTCTGTGCCTCTGGCTCTCAAAGCCGATCCCAACGCTGGACACCACAAGCGGCTTGATCAGGCCACGACGCTCTTGCGCGAGACGCCCCTCGTAGACGGGTCAGTACGACCACCATGTTGTTGTTGTTGTTGTTGTTCAGGTTGTTCTTGCCGATAAGGATGTGGTATATATGCTCTCATATACATATATCTATATGTATGCTCTCATATACATATATCTATATGTATACTCTCATATACATTTATCTATATGTATGCTCTCATATACATATATTTATATGTATAATCTCAAATACATATATCTATATGTATACTCTCATATACATATATCTATATGTATGCTCTCATATACAAATATTTATATGTATACTCTCATATACATATATCTATGCTCTCATGTACATATATCTATATGTATGCTCTCATATACATATATCTATATGTATGCTCTCATATACATATATCTCATATATCTACTACATATATGCTCTTCGAGCATATATATATATATATATATATATATATATATATATATATATATATATATATATATATATATATATACATATATATATGCACGTTCGACCCTGCTTGCAGGATCGAGCTTCTGCTCATAATGTAATGTAAATGTAAATGCATCTGCTCTTAAATGTAAATGTGATAAGAAAAACCTAGGAAAAAAAAGTAGAAAGGCTTTTCTTCTTTTTTTTCCTAGTTTTTCTTATCACATTTAAAACTAGTTCGTTTCACTTATTATCGAGTCTGAAAGTGGAAATGTTAAATATCTGTGACTTATTTGTGTTTCCAGTTACGTCCTCTCGTTCTACTGTTCCTGAATTTAAACACTGCTTCCATATTTACTTTGTTAAACCCCCTTAGTATCTCGCACGTCGTTATCATGTGTACCCTATACTCCTTTGTTCTTCCAGTGTAGTGAGGTACAGTTCCCTCAGCCTTTCTTAATAGCTCAGTCTCCTTAACTCAAGAACGATCCTTAGTGCATTTTTTGGACCATTTTAAGTTTTATTTTGTGTTTCTTAAGGTAGGGGCTTCCACGCCAGAGCTGCATACTTAATAATGTGTGTGTGCGTGCGTGTGCATGTGTGTGTGCGTGTGTGTGTGCGTGTGTGTGTGCGTGTGTGTGTGCGTGTGTGTGTGTGTGTGCGTGTGTGTGTGTGTGTGCGTGTGTGTGTGTGTGTGTGTCACTTATCTGTATGTGCCAATTTTTGTCTTCGGAATCAAGCTTTAACTGTTGGACTCCGCCTTTCCAGCCACCTGTTATTTAATACGATGCCTTCTGTTCTATTTGTCTATCATATCTGTCTATCATATTTCAACAGCCATTTAGTTCATTTTATTTTTCAACTTGTCTTACACTAAGGAAAAAAACTTTATAACATATCTCTATTGCTCAAGTTTTTAGTAATGTCCCCTTGTTCAATTTTAGTGTTCATTGTGAATATGTTTCCGTTGTCAATTTCCTCTCTCTCTCTCTCTCTCTCTCTCTCTCTCTCTCTCTCTCTCTCTCTCTCTCTCTCTCTCTCTCTCTCTCTCTCCTCTCTCTCTCTCTCTCTCTCTCTCTCTCTCTCTCTCTCTCTCTCCAGTTTTAGAGCGATGTCAGGTCCATCTTTTTCACCATTTTTCATACCCCATCCCTCGCAATTCTGGGACGAGCCTCGATGCAAACCTCTGAATGTGTGTGCGTGTGTGTGTGTGTATGTGTGTGTACATGTTTGTGTGTGTGTGTGTGTGTGTGTGTGTGTGTGTGTGTGTGTGTGTGTGTGTGTGTGTGTGTGTGTGTGTGTGTGTGTGAGTGAGAGTGCATGTATGTGTCTTAGCCCTTTTTTTTTTTTTTACTTTCTCGCTGCAGCATCCCATCAAAAGTCCAAACAAACAGAATCAGGAAAACATTATCGTTGAAAGCTTCTCCCGCTGAATGCCAAGGTTTTAAATCACATCCATGAATGATAATTTTGGGCTTTTACCTTTTCATTTAACTTTTTTTTCATTTGTCATTTCAGACGCTAATGACAAGCTAATATTAGATACAGGTAAATTTGCCATCTACTTTATTTCACAAATTGGAAACGGTTACATATTATAACAGATTGAAAAAAAGCTTCAATTGCATTCTCTAGTAAAGCGAATATATATATATATATATATATATATATATATATATATATATATATATATATATATATATATATATATATATATATATATATATATTGGATAAGTTTAAGAATGATTAAAGACCTAAAAATAAATATTGGCTTAGCAACAGGTATCGCTGATTTGGTGAACAGATTACCGGGTAACAGAATGAACGTAGGATCCCTTGATTGTTTCAAGCGTAGGTTAGACATATATATGAATGAATTTGGTTGGTTATAAATAGGTGCTGCCACGTATGGGCCAATATAGGCCTATTGCAGTTTACTTGATTCGTAAGTTCTAAGAACAAATAGCTAAATCATCAGGGAAGAAGCTGCAACATTGCAAGCCTTAGGTGATTATAGCTATGTAAAGGAAGGTGTTCAAGGAGGCGAATATTCAGCGCAATGTTGCATAGCATACAAGTTAACACACAAAAGACACATCAAACACTTTATGTAGGGCATACGTAAATCTGTGTATCTATGTATTTACGTATGTAGGTTAGCTTAGCATTTTAAAAGCACCGAATCACCTTCTGTGGTTGAGTGTTCAATAAACCCTTGAACTATATGTTTAACACATCTCTAACTCTGTCCATGGAGGACAGAAGAAAATGTATATATGCTGGTTAGCATTGTAAATGTGTGGCCACGTCTGTGGTAGAAAAACATAAAAAATAAAAAATAAAATGAAGTTATGCATTATTGAAGATTACTTCGAGTGTCTCTCGTCAATTCGTCTTGCTAAGTCTTGTTCACTTTGTATCGAGCATAACGAGAGATTTTTGAACGATGGAAACTTAAAATAACCAAATGTGATCGAACGAGTATTTGTTTAAGGTTGTGCGAGAGAAAAGAGAAGAGAGAGAGAGAGAGAGAGAGAGAGAGAGAGAGAGAGAGAGACAGACAGACAGACAGACAGACAGACAGACAGACAGACAGACAGACAGACAGAGACAGACAGACAGAGCGAGCGAGCTATTGGCATTTTAACCAGCTTACCTCGGGTCTTGGGTCCACTAAACTACTGTATTGTGTTTCCAGAGAATGACGAGCCATTAATGAAATTGGTCACGTTAATTTCCCCGAACCCCCTGAAAGCCATGCAATGATCACAAAAGATTAATACCAATACAAACAGGATTAAGAACAGCCACCCTGACCTCTTATAGGAGGAAGGATCCGAAAATCAAGGGATCCAAACATAATTTCAAGGGATCTCAGGGAGAGAAAGGCATCCCAAATAAGATAAAAAGGATCCCAAGTTTACGACTGGAATTCTAGAAAGAATAAAAATAAATATATATATATATATATATATATATATATATATATATATATATATATATATATATATATATATATATATATATATATATATATATATATATATATACACCACCTCTGGCTGGAAAAGTGGACAAATAGCCTTCGAGAAAAGTCCACACAAAACTTTAGATTTTTTTAGGTCCTGCCTCCACCAACGCAGTTTTTATGTTCTTCTATCATTCCATCTGCTACTTTTTTTTTTATTTTATTTTGCTTTTTTGATATTTTAGAGGTTACTAGTTACACATTGTTAAACACCTTGGAAGATTAAAAGTTGTGGAACCGAAGACACAGAAGGCGTTTCCTCTCTGGAAACTGAGACGAAACGCCTGAGGTACTGAAACAAGAAACTGGCAGCTCTTCGGTCACTGGTTGTGTAAATGGGCTTGGAACCCAATTCCCTGTGAAAGTTCAAGGCACCCCTGGCCTAAGGACAATGTGTCTAAGAGACTATGAGAACAAAGGTGTACTATATAGGTGTCAGCGAGGGTGGATACACATGTGTAGTCCAACATCAGATGTTTATACCCCTCTTCCAGCAGGTGTGTATTATGATGCCATGTGGCCGGGGAGCAGGATCACTAGGGCTTTGGGCCATTAGAAGGTGAGGTTCTCTCGAACAAATCCACAAGGACTGTGGCGAGGAATCGAACCTCATGTGTAATGAGGTTCTCTCTCTGTTGGGTACTGGGCAAAGACTCCTCTTGATGATGAACAAGGTGTCTTACATGCCGACCCTTGGAGCGTTCACAGTACAGCCCATGCAAGTTGGTAGTCATCTTCCACCCTGTTGCAAATACACCTGTATTCAGTGTGAACTGGGGCACCAATGTAGAGGGCCACTACCATACAGAATACGTCAGTATGTCTCTATGAGGCTGGAGGCTTCACAGTTACGGTTGATCTCACGCAACTTTCCACGGTGAATAGTGATGATGTGACGAGTGTCATAAGGAAGTTGAAGCCGACAACATGCCCGTCTTTATGTAGGATCAGCTCCTATATAGATAACCAATTGAGTCCTTTGAGGTATTTAAATGTGGGTTTGGTTTCCCGTAGAGTTATTCCTCCAGCATTCTGTTACCGACCAGCGTCAATAACGTTGATGGAGTGTTCATGCAATGTTACCCCAAACATGTTTTACACCCTGCGAGAGAGAATGGGAGGGAGGGAGAGAGAATTTACGAGTAGAAAAATGAGTGTGTAGGGGAGGAAGAATGGGGGAGGAGGAAAAATAGGAGGAGAGGAAGAATAGGAGAGAAAACAAAGACAGCACCAAGTGTCAGTAAAAGATCTTCTGGTCCCCAAAATAGGTCCTGGAGAGGGAGAGGAGAGACCTATACCGCTCCTAGCCCACCTCATGCCCCCCCCCCCCCCCACCCCCACCCCAGGATAGGCAGACAAGTGCAGAGTTTGAGCACTGTTCCCTATTCAATCCCTATCCTCCCCCCCCCCCTCCCCAGACATACTGCACGCTTCGTTGCTTTTTTCCGAAGCTTCATTTAGAACGCTTCAGGGCCCCATCATCCCCCCCCCTCCCCAACCTCCCCCTTCCAGACCTTTCCCATGCAAAAGTGCTTCACGTTCCACTGAGCCACAGAAACCCAACGA